TCTAAAACATGCGCTTAAATCACATGCTTATGTTCTAAATTATATGATTATGTTCTAAATGTTATTAGTTATGTTCTAATTGTTAAGCAGATTTGAGATCAAAGGAAGAGAAAAAAGATAAAAAAAGAAGAGAGAAATGAAGAGAATAAAGACAAAAACTTGTTGATTCCCTCACCAGTAGTTGGTAATTTCACATTATTTTCAAATTCATTTTTTATGTACTAATATTTACTAGATATGTTCTAATATTACTTCTTATGCTCTAAATTTTTTCTGGTTATGCTTTAAAGTTAATTCTTAATTTTTTATATTCTAACTATTTCTAGGTTGTCTCCTAATTGTATATATTTCTTATGTTCTAAAGTTACTTTTATTTTCTAATTATTTTTTGCTATTTGCTATAATACTTAATTTTTATGGTGTAATTGCTATGAAGATTTGGGATCAAAAGAAGAAGAAAAAGAGCAGGACAGAAAAGAGAGAAACGAGGAGGAAAAAATTGAGAAGAAAGAGAAAAGGAATGAGGAGTCACAAAAAAAACCTAATTCCTCCAAAAAAGAAGCAATCTTTTGATATAACTCCTCCAAGTTTCAACTTATTGACCCCCTCACCAGCAGTTGGTAGTTTTTACATTATTTTCAAACTCTTTTCTTTTGAACTAATATTACTAGATTTGTTCTAAAATTACTTCTTATGTTATAAATTTTTTCTGTTATGTTCTAAAGTTATTTCTGATGTTCTAAATTTTTTCTAAATCAGATGCTTATGTTTTAAACTACTTTCTTATGTTCTAAATTATGTGCATATGCTCTAAATTATATGATTATGTGCTAAATTATGTGCATATGCTCTAAATTATATGATTATGTTCTAAATTATGTGCATATGTTCTAAATAATATGATTATGTTCTAAATTAGTTATGCTCTAAATTATGTGCATATTTTCTAAATAATATGATTATGTTCGAAATTAGTTATGCTCTAAATTATGTGCATATGTTCTAAATTGTATGATTATGTTCTAAATTATGTGCATATGTTCTAAATAATATAATTATGTTGTAAATTAGTTATGTTCTAAAGTTACTTCTTGTGTTCTAAATTTTTCTGGTTATATTCTAGTTATTTCTAATGTTCTAAATTTTTCCAACTATTTCTATGTTGTGTCCTTATTGTTTTCTACTTATGGTTTGATGTCCCAGAAAATCAAGAAGATAATGAAGCAGAACTCACTTACGAAGAAGTGACAGCAAATGTTCTAAATTGTGCTTTTCTGAATCCAGATCATCCACCTACATTGGATGAAGAGGAGAAGAAAGAAGAGGAAAAAGAGGAGAAGAAAGAAGAGGAAAAAGAGGAGAAGAAAGAGGAGAAGAAAGAAGAAAAGGAGAAGAAGAAAGAAGAGGAAAAAGAGGAGAAGCAAGAGGAGAAGAAAAGGGGAAGAAGAAAAAAGAGGAAAAAGAGAAGCAAGAGGAGAAGAAAGAAGAAAAGGAGAAAGAAGAAAGAAGAGGAAAAAGAAGAGAAGCAAGAGGAGAAGAAAGAGGAGGAAAAAAAAGGAGATCCAAGAGGAGAAGAGAGAATAAAAGGGGAAGAAGAAAAAGGAGGAAAAAGAGGAGATCCAAGAGGAGAAGAGAGAAGAAAAGGGGAAGAAGAAAAAAGGAGGAAAAAGAGGAGAATCAAGAGGAGAAGAAAGAAAATGAAGGAAGCAAGAATGAGAGAAGAACAAAGAAGAAAAAAATGAGAACAAGAAAGGGTAATCATTTTGTAAACATTAGATCTTTAGGTTAGAAATATTTAGAAAAGTTAGGTTAAACTTTAAAACAAATGTTGGTTATGGTTTAGTTAAATTTTAATTTAGAACTTGGTAATAATAAATTTTGGTTTGATTTGGTTATGGTTTTTGTTATCAATAAATTTTGGTTTGATTTACTTATGGTTTTTGTTATCTATGTGATATTTTTTAATTGAATTAAGTAGGAAACAAGGAGAAGAAAAAGGAGAAGAAAAGACACGGAAAAAAAGAGGAAAGGATAAGCTTCCAATGTACTTGCGTTCACCTTTCATGGTTGAACATGAAAAACTTTTCAAGAATGTGGACAATAGAAAGGTAGCTGAGTATGCGTTTGCTCAAGGAGATAATAAGTAAGACTTTAAAACTTTAAAATTATATGCTTATGTTCTAAGCTATATGCTTATGTTCTAAACTATATGATCTAAGCTATATATTATGTTCTAAACTGCGTGTTCTAAGCTACGAGATTATGTTATAAAGTACATGTTTAAAACTATATGCTTATGTTCTAAAATAGGTACTTATGTTCTAACTATATTCTTATGTTCTAAATTATGTGTTTATGTTCTAAACTACATGCTTATGTTCTAAAACTACATGCTTATGTTCTGAATTTTATTTTTCTGATTTTAGGGAGCTTTTGTATGCTGATAACATGGGGACAACGATTACGAGAGATGAGATTCATAGTCTCATAGAAGCTAAGCACATGTTGAACAATGTTGTGGATGCTTATGTTTGCCTATTGAATTTTGAAAATAAAAGACGTGGTGTAGACAAGAAGAGTAGATTCTTTGTCACTACTGAATGCTATGTATGTTTTCGAACTTAAAATTATAACTATGTTCTAAGAGTAGATTCTTTTTGTTTCTCATATAGATTATACTATGCACCTATGTTCTAATTACTTATGTTTTAAATTCTTTTTCTTTTTCAGCTCATACGTTGTACAAAAAAATACTTCAAATCAAATGAAAGGCAAGATGATAGAATGAAGGCTTTGTTTGATAGAATGCAACAAGAAATGACAACGGCCGAAGTAACAAGCTTCAAAAGCATTCAATTGGTAACTTGGTATCTTATTATGTTGTACTTTTTTCTTATTATATGTTCTAATTATTGGTTTTGTTTATGTTCTAATTATTTTTATCTATGTTTTAAAGTATCTACTTATGTTCTAAACTACTTATTTATCTTCTAAACTACTTACTTATGTTCTAAACTACATGTTCTTAGCTACAAGCTTATTTTCTAAAATACATGTTATAAAAATTATATGCTTGTGTTCTAAACTATATGCTTATGTTCTAAAATGCATGCTTATGTTCTAATTTTGCTTATCTATGTTCTAATTCTGTTTATCTATTAGGTTTTCTTCCGGTCGTTTTACCAGATCACTACTATTTGCTGTGTGTCAACTTTGTGGAAGGAACATTTGATTTGATTGACAACAGATTTCTTCCACCAAATATTCCTTTTCAAAATAAATATGGAAATTACCATAGATTAATGGTAAGACATCAAAGTTTACATTTTTTTAATTATACTTTTGTTCTAACTTTTGCCTTATATGTTCTAAAGTTTTCCCTTTATGTTCTACAGTTTTTCTTTATGTTCTAAAGTTTACCTTATATGTTCTAAAGTTTATCCAATTTTTCAGTTGAATGCATTTGGTGATTTCGTTCACTCAATTGACTCAAATATAAAGAGTGACTTTGTATCCTCCTTCAAAACAAAAAACTTGAGTATGTCATGGAAGAGCAATAAGAACAAACATGATTGTGGAGTGTTCCTATTGAAGCACATGGAAACATATGAAGGAGAATCTGTAAAACTATGGAATTCGGGACTAGAATTAGACAATGTAAGTTTAAAACATAAGATACATGTTTTAAATTAGTTTTGTTTATGGTTTTGGTGTTATGGTTTTAGTGTTGTGGTTTGGTTTGATTATTGTTTAGATATATTATGGTTTATTATATTTATTTATGCTTATATGCTAAATTATATTCATGTTCTAAATTATATGCTTATGTTCTAAAGTATTTCTGTTTATGTTCTAAAAGTTACTCTTTTTTTTTTTTTTTTTTTTTTTTTTGCAGTTTGACCAAATGAAAAAATTAAGAGTGGAGTATTGTGGGAAGATAATAACAGCAGAAGTAAATGAAGAACGGAACAAAGTGATTAGGAGATCAAAAAAGTGGTCAAAGGAGAACAAAATGGATATATGATTGTTAAGATCTTAAGTTTATATTTGTAGAGAGATATTTGCAAAGAATATAACAGTAATTTCTTATGTTCTATGTATTTACCTGTTACAAGAAATATATTGTTGAATCATATTAAATGCTAAAATTTTAATATAAAATATATCATATAAACTTATATGCTAAATTATATTCATGTTCTAAATTATATGGGTATGTTCTAAAGTATTTTTGATTATGTTTTAATAATTATATGCTTATAAAGTTAGGGTATTAGAATATATTATTATATATTAATTTTGACTTAAAACTTAAAGTGTAGAACATTAGAACATAAGAAAATTAAAAAAAAAGTAACAAGAAATGACAACGGCCAAAGTAACAAGATTCCAAAGCATTCAATTGGTAACTTGATTCTAATTATATCTTATTATGTTGTACTTTTTTCTTATTACATGTCCAAATTATTGATTTTGCTAATCTTCTAATTATTTTTATCTATGTTCTAAAGTATTTGCTTATGTTCTAAACTGGCTGCTTCTAATCCATTACTTTTGCTTTATTTTTCCTTTTGAATACAATGCATACACTCTTTAGTGCATATCTAAGAAGGCATATGTAAATCAATGTTAAGAAACTTGAATAAATAAAAGTTGATTAAAGCAAGATTCAACTAAATGCTCTTTAATAAAGGTATCTAAAATGCTTGTACTATCATTACTCGTAGTTCAAATTGACTTAATAAAACAACTTATTATTACGAAAAGGGGGGAAGATGAAAAGACAGGAGATGTTATAAAACATTATAATCAACTTTAATTAACATAAAAATTGATAAGAAAAACACTAGTAGAGATACTCTGAATAATAATTGGACAAAAAAGAAATAAAAATATATTGTTTCTAAAAGTAAATAAATTGAGTTCTTATATTTTAAGAATTACATGAATAATATTTTACGTGCTAGTAAATGAGATATTGTTTCTAAATATATAACATCTCATGCAACTGGATTAATAGTATATTCATCAACCTGTAAAGAAAAAAAATAAAACAATATTAGAACATAAGCACATAATTTAGCATTAAAAAATGTTATAACATGCCATTTCTATTAGTTTAGAACACATGATATTATATAGAGTAAAAACTCTAGAACATTTAAAGAAACCTTTAAAACATATAAAGAAAACTTTAGAACATATAAAGAAAATATTTTGAACATAAAGAGAAAAGTTAAAATATAAAGGAAAACTTTAGAACAAAATGAATAACTTTATATTCTAAACATTAGAGCATATTGAATTACACTAAAACAGAAAGAATAAACATTAGAACATAGAGAAAACACTTTAGAACATAGAAAAGTAACTTTAGAACATAGAGAAAACACTTTAGAACATATTGAATTACTTTAGAACATATATGAATAACTTTATGTTCTAAACTTGCTTAGAACATAATTACTTTAGAACAAAATAAATAACTGTATGTTCTTAACATTAGAGCATATTGAATTACATTAAAACAGAAAGAATAAACATTATAGAAAAGTAACTTTAGAATATATTGAATTACTTTAGAACATATATGAATAACTTTATGTTCTAAACTTGCTTAGAACATAGTTACTTTAGAGCATATTGAATTACTTTAAAACATAAATAATAAACTTTAAAACATAGAAAGAAAGTAACTCTAGAACTTAGAAAGTAACTTTAGAACATTAAATGGATTACATTAGAACATAATAAAATAATATTACATGACATATATATTAGTTTAAAACACTAGAGATTATGTTTGGAAAATAAGAATATTAATTTAGAACACAAAGTATAAATTATATATTAATTTTGACTTAAAACTTAAAGTTTAGAAAATTAGAACATAAGAACATAAGAAAATTAAAAATAAAGTTTACTTACAATATCACTTGACTTTTCCAGGGCAATTACGACTATCATGATAACCAAGCTCCCCACATGCTCTACATAATCTCTTCTTCTTTTGACTTTGTTCAATAGACTTTTCTCTGTCACTCTTCATTCTTTTGTCACTATTTGGAACATGAACCTCATTTGGAACATGGACATCATTTGGAACATTGACCTAATTTGGAACATGAACCTGATTTGGAACATGGACATCATTTGGAACATTGACCTGATTTGGAACATGAACCCCCGTGCCTTTGTTCTTCGAAATTTTAGGAGGTTTGATTAAAACATTAGAAGGTAGACTAGCTCCAATAAGCATTTCAATGTCTTTAACTTTGCTCGAAAGATTGTTGCTTCCATTTGTTTTCTTCTGTTCCAAATCTACCCTCATGGCTCGAAGTTTTTTGACAAGATCACTAAGATCATCTTCATTGTTTTGCACTAAACTCACACAAGCATGAATTTCAGACCACAAATCATTTAATAACATTTTCTTATCTACTGCATTAATACATTCCTCCAACACATTACCCTCTAAATCAAAAATGGGCTTCTTATAAGCCATTGTACACCATCTATTTAGAACGTAGGCCTTGGGAATTTTTTCTAACATCCTTGCCTTCCACACCCAAATCATATGCCTACAAGGCACACCATCACGTTCAAATTTTTTACAAAAACACTTGGTATCAAAGGTAGTTGGATCAAAAACAACATCAAAAGTCCTCCTTCTAGTTCCTTCCCTCAAATTGAAAATGTAAAGCTCATTGTCCTTCTTCATCTCCTCAACACCACAATTAAAACATCCAATTTCAAGCTCATATTGAAATTCATAGAAAATTGTTGTTGTAAACAATTCAGAAGCATCTTTCTCTAAAGGAATTGGAGTCTTACACTCCGGACGCTTATTCTTCGAATCATTATCCATTTTATTTTGAGTGTTCCTTTGAGCATCCAATGCACATTCAAACCTATAGAAAATAGAAATTAACTTTAAAACATAGAAGATAATTGTTGAACATAGAGTGAATTACATTAGAACATATAAATATACATGACATGTTTATTATGATCTAAATATTATTAAAACATAAAGAGAAAAAGAAAACATAAAAGAGAGTTATAAAATAAATAGTAAAACTATAAAGCATAAAAAGAAAACTTTAGAGCATACAAGGAAAACTTTAGAACATAAAGAGTAACTTTAGAACATATATAGACAATTACTTATTACCTCATGTAGAACTCAATCAAAGTGAGATGGGGATTTGTGAACATAGTGAAAAAATTATTTTCACTTTCTATCTAGATGTGGTCCTCATAATGCCACCCAAAAATAAATCTCTGAAATACGCTGGAATCCACATATCACGTATGTTGTACATGTATGCCAACCATTCATGATCGTTCAAATGGAATTCTGAAATAACTTTGTTCCACTTTTCTTCAAATTCTGTCGGCTCAATCTCTAAATGTCAAACACATGAACACAGTTTTTTCAAGAAATCAGTGTCTTGGGAAATCGCCCGACCTACTTTTTCAGGCACCTTTTTCATAATATGCCACATACAAAACCTATGTTCTGTAGTTTGAAAAACATTACGAACAACAACTTTCATTGCAGGGTCTTGATCGGTAATCAAACACACAGACTCGTTATTTCCCATTGCTTTAAGAAAAGTTTTGAAAACCCATTCAAAAGATGATATATCCTCATGAGCTACAAAATAAGCCGCAAAAGTAACACATTTTTTATGATGATCAACTCCAGTAAATGGACCAAAGATCATATTATATCTGTAACATACACAAATTATTTATGCAGAAAATGTTACAAAATAGAGGTAAACTTTAGAACATAGAGGTAAATTGTAGAACATAGAGGTATACTTTAGAACATTAAGGATAAACTTTAGAGGATAGTAATTTAATTTAATTATTAAACGTGGCAGTAATATAGTTGTTTTAAAACATAATGAATTACTCTAAAACATAAACACTAAACTAAAAATATACAATGTAGCTTTAAAAACTTATAAGTAAACTTTAGAACATATAGACATAATGTTTAGAACATGATGGATATTAGTTTAGAACATAAAGAATAAAGTGTAAAACACAAAAGCATAATGTTTAAAGCATAAAAGCATGATGGATATATTTTAAAGCATAAGGTAGAACATTAGCAATATATGTTTAGAACATAAGGCATACATAGTTTAGAACATAAAGAATATCTGTTTAGAACATCAAAACATGATGGATATTTGTTTAGGAACACAAGGCATGATATTTAGAATATAAGAACATATGTTTAAAAAATTAATATGTAAAAGTAAAATATTAATTACATTATGAAAGAAACTTATATTTAAAACATCACCTGTTTGTTTTGAATGTGGTATCAAAAGAAACCATATCACCAAAAAGTGCATAACTTTTTCGACAGATAGGATCAGCCCATAAAGCTCTACAAAGTCTATCTTCTTCATCAACATCATAGGAAAAAAAAAATGCACTCCAGAGCAATTTCTTATTTTGAAAATTATCCACAAACATTTGGGCATCTGATCCATCAATAAAAGCCTTCAAATCTCTATAAAAATTTTTGAAATCTTGTTTAGATGCACCAACATTATCATGTGATCCAGCTAATTCTTTCATCATAGTATAAGACCTCACAGGACCAACATTTACCTGTTAGAAAAAAAAAATATATTACTAAGATTAAGAATTAACTTTAGAACATAGTAAATCAAAACAAAAAAAACATTATTTAGTACATAAAAATAAATCACCTTTGAATTATCAACAATCAACTTTTTATGCATAATATGCATTTTTCTATTATCCTTCTGAAATCTTGCACAACTTGGAGTATATAAAGGATGATTATGTTCTTCTTTGAAATGAGTTACAACATACTTTCCAGCATCATATCTCATACATATGTGAGCATTGCATCCTACACGAGTGACTAAACGTTTCCTAGTAATACGAACTTTTCCTTCTTCATAAACTGTTTGTTGAGCAATAGGTTTTCTTATTGCCCTAAAACCTTCCTTATTGCAAACTCCATATTGAAAAGCAATTATATCTTTGTTATTCTTCTTCCTTTTAGTAGTAGATTTCCTAGAAGTAAACCCAGCGGCATTTGCATATGCTTTATAAAAACTAAGACCCTCTTCAGGATCTTTAAATATCATCCCCAAACTGGGTTTTAACTCCTCGGGAACACTTGGAATCCATTCCTTAGTGGTACCACCAGGGCTAAATGATCCAACAACCTCTGGAGTACGATAAATATCACCAACTGCATTAGAACATGAAAGTAAACATTAGAACATACAATGAAAGTCATAGAATATGAAGAAAACATTATAACATAAAAAAAAACTTTATAATATAAAGAGAAAGATACATAGAAAACTTTAGAACATACAGAGAAAACTTTAGAACATCAAGGATAAACTTTAGAACATAGTAAATTAGGGACATACTTATAACATATTGCTTTAGAACATAGTGAATTACTTTATAACATACATAATAAAATTTAGAATAAAGTGAAAAAATTAAACTAGAAGGTCAACTTTAGAACATACAATGAAAGTAAACATTAGAACATAAAAAGTAAAATTTAAAACTAGAAGGTAAACTTTAGAACATAGAATGAAAGTTTTAGAATATAAAAATAAAGTAGGATTCCCTACTCCCTATGTCAGATTGGTGGGGCCATGGTTCGGTGATTCCAGTAGCAGTGACATGCATCAACTATCCCTATGTCAGATTGCTAGGATAAAGTAGCATTCCCAACTCCCAAGCCCCCAATGCCCAGCTCCAAGACGAGCCTTGAGGTTGTTGTGGCATTATCCGATAATGATCGATATTGTTTACCCACAGTTTACTTTGAATCATTACAAATTATTTAAAATGGATTAGATATTTTTTATTTATCAAATTATTTAACTTCCTCAGATTAGTACCATAATATTTTATTTTAGCTCATGTTATTTTTTGCACTACTTGAATTATACTCCGTATTTGGTTTTGGCCAAGCAATATAGTCATGTTAAGAAATAAAAATAGTGGATAAAATCCATCTAATTTTAGTTTGTAGTACTAAACAGTGCTCCAACAGAGAACAAACAATCTCAAAAAAGTTTGAAAAGCCTAGTGAAGAAATATTAAATCAGTGATTTGCAAGTGCATGTGTGGGGTTGCAAATTATAGACTCTACACTCTAACATAGCTTGTGAAAATATCTCTGCTATTTCATAAAGATGTTACTCATGACAATTCTAAATTAGTGTTGTCGTTTACCCTTATCACTAGGACTCACTACTACACATTCAATTCCATGTGAAAATATACAGTGTCAGTAGCAGATTTCAATTGCGATTGGTACATTTATGGTATATTTGGATGAAGCATCTAACACGTACTACTTTTTATAATCCTTCATCAACCACTCTTTCATACTCCGATGTATTCTGCATTCTAAAAGGAGTTTAACAGGCAACGGAACATGGCATTTGCGCTTATCATTCGGATGGGAACATATAGAGAAAACTTTAGAACATTACCGATAAACTTTAGAACATAGTAAAGAAACTTTAGAACATGTAAGTAAATTGAATTTAAAACATTAAAAACAATAAAATTACCTGAATGAGTAACACAAGAAGAAGGATAATTAGGTTGAACACCATCTAAATCCATCAATATGCAAAAACCTATTTAAAAAAACACATATTGTAGCAAAAAAGCAACTAGAAATTAAAATCCATTAAAAATCAAAAATCTGGAAAAAAACTCAAGCAAAGGAAAAAACAGAAAATCTGGAAATGAAAAATCGCAAAAAAAAACAAAAAAAAAACAGAAAATTAATGAAAAAAACTGAAGAAAATTCGCAAAAAAAAACAGATAAAATCGAAAAAAACAGAAAATAATTGCTCGAAAGTCGGAAAAAAAAAACAAAAAAACATATAACATCGAAAAATTCTGGAAATGAAAAATCGAAATTGATGAAATTAATGAAAAAAACTCAAGAAAATTCGCAAAAAAAAAAAAAAAGAAGATAAAATCAACATAAACTGAATGATGAAATCGCAAAAAGAAAAAAAAAAACAGATTTTTGCTGATTTTCGAATTGATGAATTGCATATCCACAAATAATTAGAAAAAATATAATTTCACACAAATTCGCCAAAATAAAAAAAATTCAACAAAAATTCGCAAAAAATAGATATCAATAAATAAATTAACTAAAAGGATAATCAAAATTATAAAAATTGAATAACAAACCTTAATTTCTTGAAGGAATTTGCATCCAAAAGTATGAGAGGAGAGAGAGTTGTAATGTATGAGAGGAGAGAGAAAGAGTTGTAAATTTGTAATGTATGAGAGGAGAGAGAGAGCTGTAATGTTCCAAGCCCAAAAAAAAAGGAAAGAAGAAACGTGAATGAGGAGAAAGAAAGGGAAAAGAACAACGAAAATTACTAAAATGCCATTACTAATCATTTATTTTCAGCGGTCAGATCAAACTAATTGTACGGTCCAGATTAGTTCTTATATATAATGGGTTCTTATATAGAGGAGGATTCTTATATGAGCCTTCCTCTCTCTCTCTCTCTCTCTCTCTCTATATATATATATATATATATATATATATATATATATATATATATATATATATATATATATATATATATATATATATATAAACTTTTAGTCAGGTTACAAGACAGCGACACTTGGCATTCCAATTTTACGCCAAGTGTCATGCCATGTAGTCGATAATTAATTATTAGTATGACACATAGGATAATAATTTAATTTTGGATAGATTTAGATAGAGTTAGGATAAAATTTTAATGTTGGATAGATTTAGATAGAATTTGTAAGATAAAAAAGTTTGTTTAGAGTTTTATTCTCAATAAAATTTGGATAGATTTTTAGGATAAAATCGTTGGTTAAAGTTTAATTTTCAATAATAATCTATAACTTTTAATAAATCTATTTTTAGCCCATAGTTTCCTACGTTATGACAAAAGTGAGTAAATGAAAAAATTTCCTCAAAACAAAATGAAAAATAAAAAATAAAAATTTGGTGGAATTAGGACATAAGTTTAGTAATAAGGGTATATTTTAGTATACTCCGTAGGTACAATTAGTAGGTTGAAGTACAATAAGGATTATAGCAATAAATTTTTAGATACTATGCGACATTGGATTGGATTTTATTTTGAAGGACATTGGATCAGATTAATCAAGCAGAATTAGTTAAAGAGGGAATTTCATATTATCCTCTATATTAATAACTAGGTTAGTTCCGTACAATGCATAGTTTAGCAAACGCATTTGCTCTTATGTGCGCAATATAAATAATTTAAGAAAAAACATAATAAATAATGATCTCTCTTATTAGATAAATTGAGCTAAAAATGTTAAATATTCTAATTAACTTCATAATCAAATTAAATATATGAAATAATGTTAGCATTATATCAATTTAGTGGTTTTTATTTTAATTATAAAAAAATTTGGAGAATTTATAAAGAGAAGAAAATTCAAACTCATACCATTCTGATAAAATGAAGAGTGGAAAAAAATGTTGTATATAGGAGGAAAGAAGGAAAACAAAAGAGAATTTTGTAGTTAGTAAATTTAGTCATAAAAGCTTTTAGGAAAATTAATCTACCTATTCAAACATTAGCTTTATCTTGAAAAGGAGAAGAAGAAAAAAAAAGGATGATGTCATTTATAATTTTGGAGGGAATTATTTTAATAAGAAGCTGACACATGACAGTGGTGATGTCAGCGGTAATTACATACTTTAGTATTAGTTATAGATAAAATACGTACAAAAAGTAGGCACTTCCCATTGAGTTAATTACAAAGAATTAACCTAAGAAATGATCACACATAATTTTATTTATTTTAATCCAACTTATATAAGAATATATATATACAAGAAAACTATATAAAACAGATTGAGGCTTATTTAAAAAGCAGTAGTACTATATTTTCTATTTTACAAGTCTGATAGTCAAGTGATCATTAATCTATGAGTAGAAAATTCGAACAACATAAATATTTTTCTCATATATAGTGTATATTTCTATAATATATATAGTGCGCTATCACAAAAATTAATGGTATCGTATGTCAAAATATCCTAATCAAAAGGGATATACACTTCATTCTTATATAACAATGTTTGTATCAATGATATGTTTTAAAATTTGGAATATAGCTAGATAAAATTTTATTTTAATATTGAATAAACAATGTTTGTATCCTATGTCAGAATGAATGAAAGTTCTAGATAAATAGGTAATCATCTTTCAACAAAAAAAAAAAAAAAATCCTAAGAGTCTAAGAGCCAAAGACTTACTTTCGGACTAAGACCACTGTCAATGGTGAGCAAAAAAAATGCCCACCCTTTATCTCTCTACCCACTTTCTCTCTCAACAAATCTGTTTTGTCCATGGGCAAATTTTTTTCACAATTTCTCTCCCTATGGTGAGCAAAAAAAATGCTTGCCCACTACTCTCTCTCTCTTACTTTTTCAATACCCCACAATTACTTTTTTTCTCCTACACAACACTTCTTTATTTATTAATTTCATTTATATCTTAACAATATTACTCCAAATAAATAAAAACTAGTCTAAATTTGTGTTACTTATTTTTTTTATTTGTGTCGTATTTATCGTTAAAATAAAGAATATGGAGGATTTATGGTATTTCTGAAATTATACCAAAATGCATGTTTATTTATAGAGAATTAAATTTTATAACCGTTGGTAATTTAAATTTTTTTTTTTAATAAATATGTATTTCAGAATTTGCATTACAAAAAATATAACCATTGCAAATTGTGGGGCCCACCAGAGCACTATTCATCTTAAAAAATGCTAAGTCTTGGGCATTTTCAGAAATGCTCATGAGCATATTTTGGCTTTTTCTCATTTGCTCACCATTGTAATGCATGAGCAAATTTTATGCCCACCCAAAATGCCCATGAGCAAATTTTTAGCTCACCATTGGTAGTGTTCTAAGGGATTTGAATAAAGTCTAGGAGTTCAAATTGTTAAATGTCAATGAGACAGTGAAATTAAATTACTCATCCAATTATGAACATTTAAAACAACAAATGTTTCAAACGTGGATAGATTTACACATTAGTGATAATGCTTTTTAGAAAATAATTATCATTTTATAAGTAGCCAATTAATGTGATAAGGATTTTTAAAACGTAAGGATATGTATAGCAGACTTGCGGAGGGAACTCGAGGCTTCACCCGGGATACATACTAGTATATATACGAAGTATATAGGGAGACTAATATAAGAACCCTCATCTATATAAGAACCCATAATACTTCGTATATAAGAACAAATCAGGACCGTTAATTAATTCTGATCTAACCGTCCAAAAATACAGCTGTAGTAATGACATTTTAGTAATTTTATGTATTTTTATACCCCTTTCCCATTCCTCCTTTCACGCATAATATTTGGATCAAAAAAATTTCCAGCTTTCTCTCTCTTTAACTTCCCAGAATCCCAACTCTCTCTCCTAATTTTTCCTCTCTCCCAATTTGATGTTGGTGGAAATTAAATTTATAAGTTTATCAATCTTTTAATCTAATTTGTTTTTTTATTTCCAATATTTTGTATTTCTGATGTTTATCAATCTTATGATCAATTATTTTTCGTTTTTTTTGGCTAAATTTCTGTTCAATTACGTACATTCCTTAATTTTTTTTTTTTTTTTTTTTTTTGCTTCATTTCATCAGTTTTATTTGCGATTATTGTTTAATTTCTGTTCGATTATATCGAATTTCTTTTGGCGACTTTTTCTTTATTTTTTTGCGTCATTGTGTCAGTTTTTCGTTTAATTTTTTTTTGATGTTTTTCGCTAATTCATCTGATTTCTCGATATTTCTTCGTTTTTTTTTTCGTTAATTCATCAGATTTTTCAATTCTTTGCGATTATTGTTATATTTTGATGATATATTGTTGTATTGATGAATATTTGTGATTGTTTTATTTTACTGATATTTTTTCTGATTTATTATACTGGTATTTTGCTGATTTTGATGCATTTTGTGTTTTCGAAAACAGGATTTTTGTCATTCAGGTTTATTTTAGTTTTTTTGCTTTTATTTTAGTTATGTAATTATTATTCATGATATTCTAAGTAAAAATAATTAGAACACAATAAGAAAAGTATTAAAGCATAGCTAGCTATAATAGCATATAATCTTAAGTCGTAACACTCAAAAGTTGAAGTTTAAAGCAGTTAGGACCTTGGCCACCTAGCTTATTTTAAAGCCTTTAGAGCCAAAGTTGCATATGTATATATGGTAGGTTATGTATGTTGATCTCAAGTAGTATGCATCAATGCACCCTTTCTGGCTACCAATATAATTTGTAGGAAACAAAGTGGTATACTGGTATTTTTTTAGTCTTTGCTTTTGGTTGACCGTTGTTACTATCACATAAGATAATTAATTAAGAAGGCGGTCTAATCCAAATTGTGTTGTACATAATATAATGTCTTGATTCATATTATTTGAGCAAGTAAATTATGTTAGTCTATATTTTCTCTACTTAATTGGCAATGCTTATGGATTCATATTATAAAAGCCTACTAGCTCAATGGGTAGAGCATTGTGTAAAAGCACAAAAAATATGGGTTCGAATCCCACGTAGGCTCATTTGTGTAATGTAGAGACGAGATTTTGTATGATTAGCAACTAATGATGCTTTAATAACTGAGATTAAGTAGTAAGATGCATACTACATTGCTGGTTTACTAATGAGCATTGCAACTTATGTAGTAGTTTCCTAAAAAATTTGTTGGAACGAGTGGCCTAGTTATAAATGTTGCTGCCATTATATCTCCCACGAGTCCCACCAAGTCACACAGATATAACTCGTCCTATTTATGACTGACTTTTTTTTTTTTTTTTTCAAGATAACCTATGTAGGAATCAAACTTACATTCCCTATACATTTATATAGCATTCTATCAATTGAGCTAATAGGCTTTAAAATTTTCTAAAGTATATATTAACACATGTTCTAAAATTTATTGAATATGTTGTAAGTTTTTTGTAAATGTTCTAAAGTATATATCCAAAAAATTATATAAAATATGTAATTTCAAAAGGTATAAACTTTAGAATATAATCAATAACATAATACTAAAATAGACGTTAGGAATGACACTTCCTGGTACTGTGTTTTCCCTCCAAAACTATTATCCCCTTTATTTCTTTATTTTTTTTTTTAATTTTTTACTTTTTAATGTAAATATACTTTATATATATTCATCAAATCATTTGATTGTGATTCACTTTCCTAATAAAAATATATGTATTTGTGATTCACATATTTTCCATATCTTTTATTGTACTTCCTTTGTTCTTTTTTACTTAACCTGTTTCTTTTATTACGCTTGCTAATGCAAAATTTTAATGATCAATAACTTTAATTCTCCATAAGTAAAAATTATAAAAGTTATATATTATGATAGTACTTATTGAGACAAATTCAAAAATATCCTACATGAATATGTTTTTCCTTACATGTTATTCACAAAAGACGGTCAAAAGAGGGGTGGTGAATAGTGTAAAAGTTAAAGTGAATCAAGTAAAAAAGAACGGAAGAAGTAAATATTATTATTATTATTATTATTATTATTATTATATCTCAAAAATAGACAAAGTCATACAACCTATAAAAAATTAGTGGGAAGCCGAGATACAATCTGGGCCCCCACTCCTCTAGCTATAGTAAAACCTATCCTAGTGAAGATATGAGCAGCAGCACGTGCCCCAATGTCCTGAGTCTTTGAGAACTTTTGGATCCGCTTCAGCAATGCAACAACCTCCCTTTCTAATTCCCCAAGTGAAGAGAAAGAGAAAGGAAGGAAGCCATATCCAATTGCTCGACAAACTGGATTCGTACTTGACTCGCTTCCGATGGGTCGCATCAGCCACAACTCGTCCAAGAATAAAGTCAGATAGCCCTGACTGTGTCAAAGGAGAAGACTCTGTTAAGTCTACACAAACATCGCGACCACGATCCCAGGAATAAAGTAACACATCTGCAGGTTTGAGGGCCCCGTCATTCCCTCCAAACAACCCAATGTCCACCTCCTTTCTAGCTGAAATCCCTGACCAATAGTAAACATCAACAAGGGTACCCCGAACAACATTAAAACAGACACTAGGAAGAAATCGACTCTAGAAATAACACGTGTCACAATTTGGTATTGTTTTTTCCTCTAATTTTTTTTTCCACGGTGACATCAACTACTTATTGTAAAATATACTAAAAATGTTCACCAAATCATTCACTTACTTAAACAAAATATATATATGTAATTCACATATATTCCATAAAATACTATTCTAACGTCTATTACTTTGTATATATATGGAGTATATATTATTTCCCTATCCTTATGCAGTATTTTATTCCTTCAAATCTTTAATATTATACTATATATGCAGTAATTTTGTAACAAAAAAAAAAAAATTATGCGTTTTAGAAGTAATTGATTCATACTTGATTATTACTATTACTATTACTATTATTTCCTAAGCCTTCTTTTGTTATTCATATATTTAGAAATTTCAAAATGTTTTAATTTCTTATTAGGAAACGACTTCCTAATAGCATTTTTTTTACAATATCAATCTTATTTGATTTATTTTTAATTTTTAGTTATTTATGTATATCAAAAGCACGACAAATTAGATATGTTTTCCACTATCCTAAATTGTATCAAATACATTGTAGTAATTATTTTTGTTACAATCCCATATTGTTTAATATATAATTTTAAAATACTTAATTATTTAGTTAATAATAATAAAAAAAAGATATCAATTTATCATTAAAATTTTAAACTTATTTGTCTAATTACTCTGTCATCATTATATTTCATGTTTCATTTTTTTATATACATAAAAAAAAATAAAAATACTATGGTTATATATTTTGTCCACATGCATTATGCACAATATTTTATTTTTGTTTTTTAAAATTTTTGTGTTGAATCATAAACAAAAGTGAAATTAATTACCGTGTATGACACGGGACCTAATCTAGTAAAATATAAATTTTAGAACACAAAGTATAAAATTTATGTTATAAAATTTTTTGCCTATGTTCTAAATATTTTTTTATATTCTAAATCTCTCTTCCTATGTTCTAAAACTTATATGTTCTAAAGTTTTTTTCCTGTGTTCTAAATTTTTTCTTATGTTCTAATTTTTTTTCCCTATGTTCTAAATTTTTTCTTCTAAAGTATATATGCAGAAAATTACATAAGATATGTAGTTTAGTATAAGCTATTAAGTTTAGAACATAAAGTATATAATTTAGAACATAAAGTATAGAGTTTATGTTCTAAAATTTTCAGCCTATATTCTAACTTATATTCTAAATTATTCTAACTATGTTCTATATTTTTTTTGCCTATTTTGTATAACTTTTCCTATGTTCATTTTTTTTGTCTATGTTCTAAATTTTCCAATGCATATGTTCTAAAATTTTCTCTCATGTTCTAAATTATCTTTCCTATGATCTAAACCTTTTCTTATGTTCTAATTTTTTTTCAACCTATATTCTAATATTTTAATCCTATGTTTTCTAAATTTTTTTCTACCTATATTCTAATATTTTAATCCTATGTTTTCTAAAAAATTTTCTACCTATGTTCTAATATTTTAATCCTTATGTTTTCTAAATTTTTTTCCCTATGTTCTAAATTTTTTTTTACCTATGTTGTAATGTTCTAAATTTTTTCTGCCCATGTTCTATCTATTTTTTTGCGTGTTCTAAACTTTATCCCATGTTATTTTTTTCCAATGTTCTAAATTTTTTTGTCTATGTTCTAAACTTTTATCTTGTTTTCTAAATTTTTTTCTATATTCTAATTTTTTATTTTTTATTTATTTATCATTATATATATATATATATATATATATATATATATATATATTCTAAATTTTTATCTTGTGTTTTAAATTTTTCCTATGTTCTAAATCTATGTTCAGAGCCTATATTCTAATTTTTTTTTTCCATATGTTCTAAATTTTTTTTTATTTTCTAAATTATTACATTATGCTCTAAATTAAAGTTTTTTTTAGTTATTTATAAAGATAACCTATGTAGAATTCGAACCTACATTCTTTATGTATTTACATAGTGCTCTACCACTTGAGCTAATAGGTTTTAGCCGTTTGATATTAATCACCATCCCTCCCATAGAACTATAGAAGGGAGGAAAACAATCACATGTAGAAACTCAAATGCCCCTATTACTACTACAACACATAACTCACATATTACCCAACACATGCTCACAAATTAGTGAAATTACGCAACACAACTACTACTAAAAAGTATGTAGTACGTGATTACATCAGTCAAAAAGAGGAAAATATGGTTGAATTGGCTGTTCATCCATATAAACTATGATGCAAATTTATCTAATACAAAAGTGCTAACCTTATTTTTTACCAACCATAATACTCTTATTTTCACATAAACGGACCTAAGTGACTAAATTTGCTAAGCTGACACTAAATTCTTCAATATTATTTGCAATCTAATATGAACTCTAACAAAAACTATCCAAACCAAACTTTCCTGTATATTTTTCAAAGGTAAACTTAATAAGAATGAAAATATCGAAAATTCCTCAGAACAGTACAAAATCGAACAAAATTGCAGTACAAAATCAAATAACATTGCAGCACAAAAATGCTGAAAATTCTGAAAATATCAAATAACATTGCAGTTGAAAATTCGAACCACAAATTTGAAAAAAATCACTAAAAAAAATCGAAAACATCGCTGAAAATTCGAGCCCTAAAATAGCTGAAATTAAACTGTTGATGAAATTTCGAACAATCAAACATATTGATGCGATTTCGTAACAAAATCCTTAAAATTTTGGAAAAATAAATAAATCACAACAGCGCTCAAAAAATTGCTTGAGGCTTGAGCAAGCATACATTAAATTTACCAAATTGCGAAAAAATTGACTGGAATTGCTGAAAACTCTTTCAAATTGCTCTAATAATGGAGCATTTTGGGAGTTTGAGGAGAGATAAATTGATGAGAGAGAAAATCACGACAACTTTTTGTTACTTGATTTCTTTTAATCTTGACCGTTTAATTCAATCTAATCCTACGAATTAGATTGATTCTTATATATACTAGTGTTCTTATATAAGGATGAGTTCTTACCGATATATATATATTTTGTACTTTTGATATCATTTTCCAACACTTTCTCTCTCCATCTCTTCAATAATTATCAACTACTTTAGTTGACACGTTTTGACTTTAACACTATTCACACTCTCTTTTGACCGTATTTTGTTCTTTATACGTAATAAAAAACATAGTCATGTGAGATCTTGTTAGATTCATCACTATGTATTTTCAACATATCAACTTTTCATAATTTTTGCTTATCGGTAATTAAAGATATTAATAGTTGAATTTATGCATTGGTAAACGTGACTAAAGAAACGGAGGAAGTACCTTTTATTTTTTTCTATCTCTCTCTAACCCCACATGTATATTTGTTCTTCCTAATCATGGGTTTTAAAAAATCTTTAAGTTTCTTAATTCCCATGAAAAATGAGAAATAGGCTTGTAAATAAGGGAATAAGGGACGAGGGAGTGTCATTTTGGGCTTGGCCATCTATTCATCCAAAAAAAAAAAAAAAAAAACCTCTAAATTACATGTTTACATCAATGGAGTTACTACGTAATGTTAGTGTTTTAAATATGTATATTGGAGATTATGAAAGCTAAAGCGATCTTAAGAGATAAGGATTGTGTGATATTTGCGGTGTTTTCAATTTTTCATGATTCACACTTCCTAACCAAATACAGTAAGTATCACACAATAATTTACAAAACGACTTTTAGTGCCACTCACAATCATACTCTCTCATTGATTTGCTCCCTCAAAACCAGTCAACCACACCACCATTTTTTTTTCTCTCTCCTTGATCTCTGAACCTGCAGCATACCCTCTCGGCACCGCTGTACATCCGCCAACCTCCCTTGGCCTCCACAATCCGCTATCCGCCATCCGCTCTTCCCTTGGCGATGCAGTTGTAAAAGGGTATTTGTTTGTGCTCATTTTGCTAATTATGCTCATTTTGCCAAATCCTAAAATGGGTATTTGTTTGTTGGGTTAGATAGTGAGGAGTGATCATTTTTTGTATTTTTTCATGTTTGTTTTTGAGAATAGTGAGAAATGATTATGACTTAGTTAGTGCATTGAAAAGACAAACTTATGATTGTAATGAGTTTTTGAATAATGTCGTATTGCTTAGATATCAAATCAGTTGGCTTTTATATGTATCTGAAGTTCTTACGGCCCGTTTGGTAGCTGGTACGGAGTAATAAATTGCAATAATGGGAATGAATTTTATGTGTAATTTAGTATGAAAAGTACTTATACTCTTGATAGGAATACAATCTTGACCCCTAAGCATTTGTTTTTTCCATTTACCTCTTGGAAGGTAGTATTTGGTGGGAATGGACATTTTTGAAGAAAAACAGACTATTTAGGGGTCATCTTGAATGGTCATTGGAATGAACATTGATTTTCTTTCCAAATGTACATACAATTAAATTTCTACCAAACGGGTTGTTAGATTTCGTCGATGATAAGATTCTAAATAAATATAAACTGATAATTGCATAGTGTTTGTATATGATTGTCTGCTGTCACATTGTGTGTTTGTGTTTGTGCATTGGATATTGATTCATGTCCCCTTCAACGTTGTAGGAGCTTAGGGGCTTTTGATGGTTTGTTGGGGTTGCTGCTGATGTCTTGCTATTAGATATAGCTGCTCAAATAAATCAAAGATGGCAGCCTTGCCCTCCAATAATCTTACAGTTTTTGTAGACTCGGCTTTGGCCAATCAGAAATGCGGAGACTATTTGGTTTTTAGAAGTGAAACATATCTAGGAAATGAATTGCGTACAGCCTTGTACTTTATGGGTCTTGCTTATTGTTTCATCGGATTATCAGCCATTACAGATAGATTTTTTCGCTCCATGGAGAATGTAGTTAAGCAGACTCGTAAAGTGGTGGTAATTGATCCTTTGACTAAGGTTGAAATTGTTAGATATGAGAAGGTGTGGAATTATGCAATTGCAGATATTGCTCTTCTGGCTTTCGGAACTAGCTTCCCTCAGATATCTTTAGCTACCATTGATGCTATAAGGAACCTTGGAAGCCTTAATGCTGGAGGTTTATCTTTTTCTTATGCTTTAAAGTATTTTTGGTGTCAAATGTCATGAGTAAGACTTTACATTAATATATGGATAACACCGATAAAGAAAAAGAAAGCTAAAAACCTCCATAACTTTATATGATTTGGTTTAAATTGCAGCTTTCACATATATTTGGTTTCAGTTGTACATCAAACTGTAATGTGCTTAATTACTCTCTAGTGCTGACATAGTTGTGATATTCAGTGATCTTGTTGCTTCAAATGGTATATTGCTAGTCTATTATAGTATTATTGTTATATATCAGTGTCTGCTATACTTGATTAGGGGTTTCATGGCTTTATAATGTTCCAATATATAGCTCTTTTGCTAGAGATTAGCCTTCTCTTCTATCCTACTATAATTTTACAAAGATTAATAATCAAAATAGTTGGTATACTGATCAACTGAATTAGAGACAAGTGATATCTCTGCAACTAGGTCTCACCGGTTCTTCCAAAAATAGATTATGAAGAAATTTGTTTTAGCTCTAATATGGAAGCACCTTGAACAGGAAGAAGATAATTTGCATGCATACAATAAATGGCATAAGTAAAACATTCAAATGTTGTACTGTGTTTCTCTCCTTGCTTCTATTTATGTTTAATATTGACTTCAGCTTGACTTGTAACTATGTAGGCTTGGGCCCTGGAACTCTAGTAGGTTCTGCTGCATTCGACCTATTCCCAATCCATGCTGTTTGTGTAGTTGTTCCGAAAGCTGGAGAACTGAAAAAGATATCAGATATAGGAGTCTGGTTGGTTGAGCTATTTTGGTCCTTTTGGGCTTACATATGGCTATACATTATTTTGAAGGTAATGAATTTCTATACATTATACTCTCTTTAGCTGGGCATACTTTTAGTTTTCTTGTATATACTTCTTCAAAAATAAAATTTCATGGAGGACTTTTCTTGTTGTAAATTGATGGAAATCCTTGTTCATCTTTCTGGATGCTTTGATCTTTGTCTTTTGAACTTAATATTAGAACTCATATCTTCTTTGCGATTGTTGAGGTGATTGTATCAACATTTGCATGCATTATTTGGCATGTAACCTCTGGTTGTGCATAACACTTGGCAAAACAAAAAGCTTCTGATATACTTTAATCACTTTGTGATGAATATATGATTTCCTCAGCTTAATGTAAGCACTTGTAATTGATATAAAACAATAATATACTGTAGAAATGTTCTTTCTTCAGGTTTGGACTCCCAATGTAGTTACTCTATTGGAGTCATCTTTGACAGTGTTGCAATATGGCTTACTGCTGTTAAATGCATATGCTCAGGACATGCGATGGCCTTACTTATCTCTTCCTTTGTAAGTTTATGTTTTAAAATATTTGTCTCTCTTGTTGGCTTGTATTATCTGACATACTTGGTATAAAGACGTTTCTCTATCATTCACTATTCAGCTCGAGATCTGAGAGGCCTGAGGAGTGGGTTCCGGAAGAGGCTTCACCGTGTAAACATGAAAACCTCGGAGAAGACTCTGTTAATTCTGCTGCTGATTATGAAGACAGAAACATTGTCGACATCTTTTCCATTCATGGTGACAATGAGACAGGTAATGTTGACACACATCAGGAGTTTCCTTAGTTCATCTTGTGCCTCTCAAAGCCAAATTGAATTTTACTGTTGATTTTCGTGTAAGGCTCGGTATAGCCTCAGTAAAAATTGATGTATCTTTTTATTTAGATGATCTTTTCTGAAGAATTACTTTCAGGTACATATCAGGCCCTGTCTTCAGATGAAGTGGCTGAATCAAACACTGAACAAGATATTAGAAACATAAAATCAGACAATGCCACTATCCTGTCACTTTGGAAGCAACAGTTCGTGGATGCACTCATGGTACTTCTTTTGTTTAAATTTTTTTTGTTTTTCATGACAATAGAGGGTTTTATTTATTTAGCAATGTGTCAAAAGTGTAGTATTCAATTTCATTACTAATGTTGAGGAAAAAACTTCTGGATGAAGGCTCCATTTAACATCTAGTGCTTTACGGTTAAACAAAATGTAGTGTCTATTTCAATTGAATAGAACAAATTCAAAAAGGCAATTCTTTCACCCCCTCTAACTTTTAAACTTCTCTGCTTGTATCTCTGCTTGTATATCACTGAATCTTCAATAAACTACCCTCTGAATGATTTTTTTTTGGAACTAGCTTATTAGACATGAAAAATGATTTTATCATCTATTTTCCTCCACGAATAGATTACAGTCCTAGGATGGGGAGTGTTGGAAATATAAACTTTATTACCAAAATACTTGTTCTTATATAGCAAAATGAATTGTAACTTTCTTTGTATCTAGAAGAATTTTCGATAACTGATAAGGTAGGAAATGAACTTTTAGGACTGTATTTAGTCTGTGGAGGGAACTATATTGGTATGTATCTTATTGTTGCATTTGTAGGAACAGGCTGCCTTCTTGTCATTGCTCTGTGAATGTACTGACTTTTAAGTTTTGGTGAGACAGTTTGAACATAAAAAGCTGGAGGGTATCTTTCTAAGGTCGGTCAGATTCATCTGGTTTTTGCTTCTCCTACCATGGAGGTTCATGTTTGCCTTTGTGCCTCCTTATCGTATTGCTCATGGATGGATAGCCTTCATCTGTTCTCTACTCTTCATCAGTAGTATAGCTTTCATAGTGACAAAGATCACAGATATGATAAGCTGCGTGACAGGTTAGCTTGTTTTTAATGATTTATTGGTTGGTATCTATTGCCATAATCAAGTGTAAGTCCCCATTTTTCTTGACTCATATTCTGTTTGACAGGATTAAATGCTTATGTTATTGCTTTTACGGCGTTGGCTGCGGGTACCTCTTGGCCAGACTTAGTGGCCAGCAAGATCGCTGCTGAGCGTCAGACAACGGCTGATTCTGCTATTGCAAATATCACCTGCAGGTTTTCTTTTTTTCCTTTTAATCTGCTTGATCTATATATAGTTTCTTCAAGACAGATCTTCCTAGTCTTCTAGAACAAGCAAGCAAATGCATTATAACATAGTTATGTTCGGTTGTCTTGGATTTCACTGCTTTAAGGTCATATAGAAGAAGCAAAGGTGCAGAAATATAAGAAGTGTTGCAGCTTTTAGCACATTAGAATTTATTACTTGGCCAGATGTTTGTTTGTGTGGAGGCGGGTTGGGTGGGGGTCTTGGTATGAGGGAGAGCGGACCCTTGTATAGAGTGATTTTCTTTTCACCCTGGAGCTGGAGAACAACTAAATGAGTATGACTTGTCTTGTCTCTTAAGTGGAAGTGAAAATTGATCACTCCGACCAGATCCATGAACCATTATTTTACTCATTTTGTATGGGGTTTTTCACTAACTTTCAAATTTTCCTAGTAACATGTTGCATGTTCATTAGACTCTTTTGCTCCCATAGTAACATTTATCTGAATTTCCATTTTCTTTTGCAGCAATTCCGTGAACATATATGTGGGCATTGGCATCCCATGGCTAATCGACACAACATACAATTATTTTGCATATCATGAACCATTGAGGATTGAAAGTGCCGAGGGTCTTAGTTTTTCATTGCTTGTGTTTTTCTGCACTTCAGTAGGTTGTATATCAGTTCTGGTACTGAGGCGTCTTGTGTTTGGTGCCGAGCTTGGCGGACCTAGGATCTGGGCATGGATCACAAGTGGGTACTTCATGTTGCTTTGGCTTATTTTTGTTACTCTGTCCTCCCTCAAAGTCTCCGGCCTTTTGTAATTTCGCAAGTCCATATATTTTGCTCTAGATTTATGCAAAATTATTTCATTTAAAATTCATAAACATTATATAATAGTGTGATATGTACGGTGCATATAGAAACATCAAAGAAAATGAAATTTTTTCATAGATATATAAAGCTTCAAACATTACTTTGATGACATTCAATTCATCAGTTGGATGCTTAGATTATTCTGTGATTTGCGCGTTTCTTACTCATAAATACTCTCTATTCACAAATAATCTTCATGTATTGCTTAGGCTGTTCACAACTGGGGGTGTTAAATACTGCCATCTAAATTTATCAAAACCACCAGCATTTCAAGCAAAGGGTTATTATTGCCCTTACTAAACCCCAAGTCCCTAACCCATTTTTCTCTTTTTTTTTTCTCTCTCATCAAACACCCCAAGTACCAACCTTTTTTTACACAACCACCACAATCACATAGTAGAGGTTACCAGCTGCAGTTGGTGACGGCGGCGGCGCGGAAGTAGGCGGCCGGTCAAGTGGAGGTCAAGAGGTCAATCGGAGCTGAAAATTGGTTGCCGGGGACGGTAATTGATTTTGGCCGCCAATCAATCATACCTGGTAACCGGTTTTCAGCTCCGGTTGACCATGGTAACCGGTTTTCAGCTTCGGTTGACCATGGTTACCGGAGGTCAAAATCGGTTACCGTGGACGATAACCGGTTTTTAGTAGGGGTGTTCGCAGTGCAGTTTGGTGATCCAAACCGCAACAAACCGCAACAAACCGCAAAATTGCGGTTTGCAATTTTTTTCAAACCGCACTAAACTGCACCGCAAAATGCGGTTTGGTGCGGTGCGGTTTGCGGGTTAGTCACATTTTTTTTAATTATAAAGATTTTTTTTTTAAAAAAAAAGACTTTTTATTTTATTTTGTAATTATTAATTTATAATTTAAATATTTAACTCTTCTTTTAACTTTTAATTAGCTTATAGTACAAAATTACATCATATTTTTAACCTATTTTATATATTTTTTAATAGAATTAGTATAAAATTGGTATAACGGTTTGTGGTTTGAAGGTCCAAACCGCAAACTGCATCAAAGTGCGGTTTGGTCTAAAATGTTTTGGAAACCGCACTAAACCGCAAAATTGCGGTTTGGCCATTTTTGGAAATCGTACCACAATTTTCAAACCGCAAATCGCACCAAACCACAAAATTGCGGTTTGGTTTGCGGTTTGGTGCTGTCTAGACCACACTCTGTACAACCCTAGTTTTTAGCTCTGATAACCGGTTTTTAGCTCTAGAATCGGTTACCGTGACGGTTAATCAGTTTGTGGCTCTGGTTGACCGTCGTCAACCCGGCGGTTTCTCCGGCCAATCTAACTAATATAAACCCCCGGAAAAAAAGTCGTACCTGCTAAAATGCCGATGGCGGCATTCTTCCGACAAGCCACCTTGATCACCATCCATTTCTCGTCGACTTTCGCGGTCGTGGTGGCAGTCCGATGTAGATGGTGGGGGTTGAAACGGTTGTTGTGGGTTGTGGTGGCCAACGTGGTGGCGTGGGTTGTACCGGTGTCGTGATTGGTGGTGGTTGACTTGGTTGTGGTGGATGGCTTAATGTTAGAGAAAGAAAATGGGAAATTTTTTTAGTAAGGGCAAGGATGTCTCTTAGCTTGAAATGATGGCGATTTGATAATTTTTTATGGTGGCCTCTAGCATTTCATTAAATGTTTTTGTAACTTAATGGTAAATTTCCCACTCAACTCATTTGAGGTTGACTATCACATTCCTTAATATGTGTGTCCACTCAACTCATTTGAGGTGAACTCTCTTTCCCTCACATTCTCACCTTACCCTATTACATTTCTTAATATGTGTGTCAAAACCTAACAGAGGTGATTATTTGTTCACATTGGGAGTATATTACGGAGTACAAAGTTTACCATCGACCCATCACTTTGAAAAGAAAATATCAAATCTCCAATTAAGATACTTGCAACCTCGTATAATGATACAAATGCACTTCAAGATTGTTCAAAAGATGGTATTAAATGACGTTAAATGAATTCATATGTAATTTTGTAAGATAGATCCGTGTCAATGTCCATAGAACAGGGTTGATTGAACTTTATGAGATAAAAACACATTTGCGATGAATTTTATCATCAAATATCACTGATATTAGCATGAGGTCATCACTATCAAAACGTTTTATATATATACCTGAGTTCACATATATGTAGTTGCACCCAAAGGTAGGTTTTTGCTCATTTCATAATTTTTTTTATAAAAATATTAAATGAGCTAATTTGATGCACCTTGTACCTGTGTGTATATATAAAATTTCATATCACTATAAAATTACATATAAATTTATATTGCTAATTAAACTACTTGTAATTGTACACAAAATATTCCTTTTTTTTTTTTGAAAGAATATTTTTCTTATTTTTAATGTTAAAAGAATTGTAAAAAAACAATTTTCTTTCCAAAAACAATAATTCCAAATTATTGGCGAGCCAAAAAAAGATTATGTCGTGTCCAAAGGTAGCTTCACTTCGCCTGCATGACCTTGCCCCAACGATTGTAACGAAATAACTCCCAACTTTTAAACAAAATGCATTAATTGCCAACAGAAAAAAAAAAAAAAAAAAAAAAAAAAAAAAAAAAAAAAAACCTACAAGTATTAATTAGCCAGATATTTAGAGAGATACCATAGTCTAAAGCTGAAGTTTTGATTATTAGTAGCCCAGTCAATAGTTCAAAAGATGGACAGTGTTTACAAAAGATATGTTCTTGACAATATATGCAGAGATCCTCAGTTAAAAAAACGGGTAGAAATAAACTGACTCCAGAAGAATAAAAGCTCCCGCATTCGCCACTTTTTGTTATACAGGAGCCCTTTGCTCTTGTCAGCTACCCAAATCTCTCACACTTATATCACGATATAAAAGTTGCTTTAAGCAAGTGCACCTGTGCAAGCAGTAGCTGGGGTAGGATTGGCATGTTTTGTTGCTGAACTATATTTCGCTGTGATAAATCTGGGAAATTAAGATCACATACACACCAATATGAGAATTGCAAGAAGTTAAGCTATAAAAGCTGTACCGTCAAATTAAATTCATTCTGTCAAGAGGTAACCAACCTAAAAAAATCCCTCCACAGAAGTTCAAACATCAACCAGTTCATTCCATCATCACCATCTTTTCGGTTTGAAGCAGAAATTGTTCTGATAATTTATACAAGAGAGTATTAAGAAAGTTAAAAGTTGTAGAAATTTGACAGCAAGGGAAACAAAACCACATAAACACGACAAAATAACCCAATACCTGGAAGCAGTTTTCTTCAGCTCATCAAACATATGTCGAGGAGAAAGGCATCCCATGGCTAACCATGGAGAAATTTTGCACGAGAAATTGGCACCATATATGCTGTTAGTGCCGTCCTTGGACTTTGGTGGCTGCGCCTTGCATTCAGCTGCAAACTTTTGGAGCCTTTGCATTGCTTCAGTCTCTCCTCCCACCAGGGAACCATTAACAGGTGGTTTTCCATCCTATGAAAAACTTACACAAATAAGAGAATTGCCAAAATCTTAATATCAAGAATATGCAAATCACACAACATCATATTTAATGATCCAGTCAAGGGGCCTATAATTGACCAATATAAGTCCTCTAACACTGTTTGGTCATGTTCAACAACAACAATCAAAGCCTTAATCTCAAAGATGGGGCTGGCTACATGAACCACAAGTACTCATCAACCGTGATCCTCTCCTTCTGTCTAAATGTTATATGTTCCTGCAAACTCAACTTCTTCATGTCCTTCTTAATTCCTTCCAGCCAAGTCATCTTTGGCCTTCACAGCTTATTCTAAGGTCCCCTTTATCCCAAACCTCTACTTTCCATACTGGAGTGTCTTTGATCTCCACGTTCAAACCACGCAATCGGCTATCCCTTATCTTATTCTCAATGACCGCAACTCCAACTTTCCTCCTAATATCTTCATTTCTAATTTTTTCTTTTGAGGTGTTCCACCTAAAATTTATCTCAACATACGCATCTCTGCCACTCCAATTTTACTAATATGATCCATCCTGAATGAACAATATCCAATTTGCCTAATTCCAAAAAGTGTTCTGTCATTTACAAAGTCCAGAATTTAATTCAACTGACCAAAACAGTTTCCTATACAATTCAGCCTCCGTGTCCTAAAAGATAATTGTTTGCAAAGTATTAATGGCTACACCTATCAAGAGCATGTTTGATAGGGGGTAAAAGTGGGAACTGGTCAGAGAATCAGAAGAAGGATTCTGTTTCAACTAGTTTGGTAAAAGTAGTGGAGTTAATCGGTTGCCTCTAATAAACAGTACCCCAAATTTGAAACCTGCACCACCCAGAGATAACAGTATAACAGATTATGTTATTTGGTGGAAACAGAGAGCTCACTTCGCTCTCTACAACAGAAACTGAACACATGTGTCTTGATTATGAAGGTAGAAGAAATGTATATAGTACACAAAACTACAAGAGAATTGAAGAGGAAGAAGAAAAACAGCACTGTTCAACATCACCATAGCCAAATCAAGCCATGATGAGCCCCATCTTGCTTATTATGGCTAAGACCAACCATCATTTTGACAAAATAATCACGTTAAGCAGCAAAACCACAAAAGAGGAGGAAGAGGGGTGATAACACTGATAAGAGAAAAATGGCAGCTTGGATCTAAGATACTAATACAGTAATATGTAGGGGTGAGCAAAATATCAGGGTACCCTGAATAGGAAACGGAAATGCAGGTTCCGGTTGTACAAGAGGTTTCGGTTCTGGGTAGTAAAATGGAGAACCTGTTGCAACAGGCTCCGATTCAGGTTCTCAATTTTTTGGAACCGGAACCTGATAAAAGTATCACTTAATCCTAAACATACACCAATTCAAGCCCGATTTTTATTAAATAAGAATAAAAAAATTGTTATAAATATATGCATTAAATTTGCTAAACAACTATTTTTGGGTTGTTATATTTGCAAGTTGTAAACATTGTAAATTTATGACCCTTCAAATTGTTTCGACATAATTTTGCAAAAAAAAATACAAAATATATTAAAAGGTAGGGTACCTTGAATCGGAACCTGAACATACAGGTTCCGGTTCTGGTTCCCATTCACCTGTTCAACAGCTTCCGATTCCAGTTATCATTTTGAGGAACCTGTTACAATAGGTTCTGGTTCAGGAATTTTAACGGGGTATACTATTATGCTCACCCCTAGTAATATGGTCATTCTAATGTATTGAAAAATAAGTATGAGGTGGACAATGTTACCCAATTCACTAGTATAAGATTCAGTGCGAATTCGCAATCTGCTACCTTGTTAAATTTGGCCAAAAATAACGACTTTATAGTATAATTCACCTGTTTTAGTCCATGGTTCACAAGGGGTAGGGGCGATTAGGTAACACTAGTTGTGGGTACCATTCCATTTCTAAAACTATAGCTGAACCAAACAACTTGTTTCATAATGGGTTGATATACATTCCATTCCCTTTACTTGATGGATTAATTCCATTTCTAAAACTATAGTAGAGCCAACCAGGCTCCATGGGTTTGCAACTTTGCAGCATGTACAAAGTCCAGCATAGCTCATTGATTGATTAATAATGTCCAAGTCCAATGTGATTCAGGCACCTGTTTCACAATATTGGAAATGTATGGGGAAGTTATTATCACCGTAGCCCAAAAAAATGGTTGGAAATGACTAAAATTCAAAAATGTAAGATATGATGTAGGACTTTTCTAAATTGCCTCAAGTCCTTGCGAGTTGAGACCATCCCCTTAGAGGGAAATCATTTCTATTTATTAGCATTGTTCACTATACTCTCCTAACTGTTGGAACTAACATATGGCATATCTATCATTAGGATTGCCTATTTCCCAGTTTTTTAGTGGAATTTTCTTGTTAAGAGGACCTCTAATACCGTAACGAACATATTTTCAATAGCTCTATGCAAGACCAATAATATCATAATGACCATCTAAGACACACACTTGAAAGTTTCATAGACAAAGACAAGGCTAAAGGAACGGTTAACTTCAATGTTTGCTTTTCCCAACAGAAAATATTTCCAGGAGAATACATATAGTAATAACACAAGACACTACAACATCAGCATCCCCAATGCTTCTGTAGAAGATACCACCCAAGGCGTGATAGGGAGTTCCATGAATGCGTACAAAACATAACGGAGGCTATTTGTAAAGTTTGACATATGTGACTGTCAGATAAAAGGTTACAGTAAGTGAAAATGAACGAGAGGGAGGCTAATTCATCAATCTATGGTTCCTCAAATGCCTTCCATGTATAAACAACCTACATGCTCTAGTCCACTCTCCACTAAACAAGATATTAAAGCACACATAGTCAATTTAAGGAGCGAGGTTAAGTTGAAGAAGAAGGAACGAGGTCAGAGCTGAAAGAGTGAAAGGATTTATCAAGGTGTTTTCGGGGTGGAGTTTATCGGGGCTGGGGTGGAGTTTTTCGGGGCTGGGGGTGGAGTTTTCAGGGATGGGTCAGATTTTTAGGGGCTGGGGGTGGAGTTTTCAGGCTGATTTGTGGGTGTGAATTGATGATGTAGGTGTTCGAATTGGAGATCCGGCGGTTGTAAGTGGGCTGCAATGGTGGCGCGTTGATGCGGCGTGCTTGTGAGGTGGGCTGGGCGGTGGTTTAGCGGCTGTAACAGCAGGTGGCTGCCTGTTGTGAGCTGTTGTCGTGAATCTGTTGTGAGAAAGGTGCGTGAGATAAGGGGTTGTTGGCTGCAGTAGTGGAGCGGCTGCTTGCGGTTGCTGCTGATGGTGAAGTGGGAGGAGGGTAGCAGCATGTTGTCGGTGCTAGGTGAGGTGTGAACGTGGTGAGCAGGCTGGTGCGATGCATGAGGGAGCAGGGGTGGTGTAATGGTGGTGCACTGGTGGTCCGAGGAATAAGACTAAGAAAAAAAAAAGGAAAAAAAAAAAAGGAAAAAAAATTAACCTATTTAACAGGTTGTAGGTCAAAAGGATCGTTAATGGAAGATCCCTACCAAAGGTGGGATTGTTTCTGGAATTTCAAAAAGTGGGATTGTTTATAGAAGACGCACTAAAGGTGGGATTATTAGTTTCCATTTTCCTAAACTAATATGTCCAACATTATGCAGAAAGTTGCAAACATTTACACAATTCCTCATACAAATCCAAATGCCTTCACATAACATTCAGTTGCAAAAGCTCAAAGACTTCCTCTTAGTCAACCCAGTTAACCAGTGCAAAATTGAAAAGAATTCACAGCAATAGACAATGGAATTTTACACATCAAACCATAAATTCCAACACATATAATATAATCAAATAATCAAAGCATTTTATCAACAGAAAAACATCAAACAATTTCGACAAAACCAAACAAGAACTTGAAATGCTAGAAGCAAATAAAACCTGAGACAATGTAGCATTTGGGTTAAGACCCAAATCAACAAGAGAAGGAATCTCTCCAGGCTCCACATCCCCTCTAGAAGGCAACCCTTTCAACTGATCCAAAGCAGCAATAGTATCCCTAACCTTCAACCCTTGCACTTTCTCCCTAAACCCACCATAATTAGTAGGCATACCCTGCAATTCAAAGGGCAAATCCTCCAAATGATACAATGTACTACCCCAAAAATACTTCACTTCAACCCCTTCATCCTTCATTGCTGTCTCAATCTTCGCCTCCGATTTCGCCTCCTCTTTCGACACTTCCCGGTGCACATACACCGCATCAGCTCCAATTGCTTTAGCCATCTCAACAAGAACTGTCTCAGGCTTCCCAATTCTCACAACCAAATCAGACCCTCTTGCCCTAAGATTCCTCCTAAGATCAGAAACCGATTCAACCAAGAAAGAAGCCCTAAACGGCCCGGTTTTATCGAACCCAGAAGACGATTTCCCGTAATCCCTAGGATCAAAACAGTAAACAGGAAGAACAGACATTGACTCATTGTTTGCAGTTGTAAGACACTCATTGTCATGAACTCTAAGGTCATTTCTGAACCAAACAATGGTGGCTCTTCGAACAGCGGCGCCATTAGAGGGGTCTGAAGGAAGACGAGGGTTGACAGAAAGAGGGTTTTGAAGAGGGGTAGCAGAGAATGAAGACTTTTTGGAGAAGGGTTTTGGAGGAGAGAGAGTGGAGGAAGAGAGAGAAAGAGTGCAGAGTGCAGAGGTGATTTGAGGTGGGATTTTGACGTTTTTGGGGGAGAAAAGTTGGGTAATTTTGGAAGGGATGAAGAAGTGGGTAGGAAGAGTAAGAGCAGAGGAGAGAGAAAGAGAGAGGGAAGCTGTTGGAGGTTTGAAGGGGGTTAACAATGGCGGATTATTCTCATTTTCTGGGGATTCAGAGGATTGGGTGGTGGTTGGTTCAAACTCCATTGATGAATTTTTGGAGGTTTGAAGATAAGTTGGTGTCAATTAGTGGGAGCTATGAGTAGTATTCGAAATGGGTTGGTAGATTGATGTTTGGTGAATTGTGATGGTTGTGGAATTTTTTATTTTATATATATATATATATATACCATTAATATTAATATTAATTCTAATAATCATGATTAAAAGTTATAATAATTATCTAATTGGTGTTTATTTAGCTGAAATTATTTGACTAACACCTACTACCATCTTTTATGTTACTCCCTCCATCCTTATTTACATTCTTTTTTGGGGTTTCAAAATTACATGCCTTTTAAGTTGGTAGATTATACTTTTTGACAATATTCCTTTTTTTGATAAGTTGTCATTTTTTTTTTGTACTTTTGACATCATTTTCTTTTTCTCTCAATCTCTTCAATAATTATCAACTACATTTTCTTTCTCTCTATCTCTCTCTAACCCCACATGCATATTTGTATTTCCCAGTCATGACTTTTAAGTTCCTTAATTCCCGTGTAAAATGAAAAGTAGACATGTAAATAAGGGACGGAGAGAGTATTTTTTTTTTAAAAAAAATTAATCAAGCTTCTCATTTAGGAATTCTTCTTGTATTTAGTGGTTGGATTCTAAAATAATCTCTTTTGTCGACTTCTAAATATTTTCGTGTAATCTATTTGTTACTACGTATTATTTGTTTGCTCCATTTAACTTTTTATAATACAAATACTCCCATCTACACCACGTATCTCCAATTTCACCTATGCGAAAACTATATAAAATGCTATATCATAAAAGTAAACATTGAAATAAATGACTGTTAGTTTTATAATGTAGTGATAATTTGTCATTAAAATTTTTTTGAACTTGACCCACAAAAGTGTAATTAAACAATAATTTAGGGATAAAGAGAATAGTCGTGTGAATTGTTTTAAAAAATTGCTTCTAACACTCCTTTCTTTAGGGTTTGTGTCAAAATTTATTCTTGACAACAATTTAAAGTAATTTGTGTGCCATCAAGTATTATGATCAAATATTGTTCCCTTTTGGGACTTCCTTTTTTTTAGAAAAAAAAAAAGCATTATGCTCAAATAGATTCAATAAAAATAATTTTAATTTTTTTTTTTTAATAAAGGTTAGAAAAAGAGAAAAACCTTCGGAGACCTTCTTCACGAGGGGAACTCCTAATGCATCAGAAGAGAGAATGGTTGAGAGACTAGAGTTATTACAAGGAATAATATCTATATTATTACTAACTAAATAACGAGCAAAACCCCATTAATCTCACATATAAACAAAATAAAGTTTATCTCAACTAACAAAAGGGAAAAGCTGAATTATAAAATGTTGTACTGATGGAAAATGTAAAGGAATATGTAAGAACTGGATGTTAGCAACGTTAACTAACGTCCGTTTAGTTTTATTTTATATTTTTATTTGTTATACCTCATTCATCTCCTTATTTGAATCACGACCATCGGAACTGACCACCACCACTTTCTTCCTTCATCTCCTTCCTCTTTCAACCCATAGCCGAAAACCAACTATCATTTTCATCTAGCTTCTTCCTCGAACTGACCACCATCCTCATCTACCGATACCAACACTGACATCAATAGCGGCTTGGCGTCTTTAACGCTAAATAAAACGAAAACCCTAAGAAAAATGGAGAAATTTAGGGATAGGATAACCCTAAAGGGTAAGTAAGTTTTTCTTCTTTTATCGATTTCTCAATTAAAAGCTTGAAGTTAAGCTTTAATTTTTCTCTACCATTTAAGCTCTGAGATTTCTACCATTGAAGCTCCTAGTTGGTCGGCAAGAAGAAGATAAGATGGTGGTCGGTTTATTTCCAGTTGTGGGTTGAAGGAGGAAGGAGATGGTGGTTGTGGTCGGCTTCGGTAGTACTCCGTTCACATATGGGGAAAAACAGATATTGGGTTGGGTTAAAAACTGTTAATTCTCTCAGTAAACGGACGTTACATGACTTTTTTACCTTTACAGAAATACCCCAACTGAAAGCATGTAAATTGACCAAAAAGCTCCTCGATAAACAAAGTTTGTCAATCAAGGGTATAAACTTGAATTCTCTCCTAAATAACCTACATTAGCTATCTAGTCAGTTACCCGATTTGCCTCACAAAATATACTTGTGTGTCTTATTACTTATACTTCAATTGCCAAACTTGGTGAGATGAGTGCATATGTCCCTCAAGTGCCCTTGATACAGTTGATGACAGGGAGATTATCGCTCTCAATATGAATATTCTTTATCCCGAACTCAATGGCCAAAAGAGTACCTTTGTGAAGAGCCGTGGCCTCAGTGATGAAGATTTTGAAGTTGCCGAAATTGAAGGTACATACTCTGAATACTCAATTTACATGTTGACGTGGACGGTATATGGGAATAGATTTTGAAGTTGCTGAGATTGAAGGTACGCGCTCCGAATACTCAATTTACATGTTGATGTGGACGGTATGTGTGAAAAAATTTGTTCAAAAAATACGAATATACTATACTCCGAAGAGTATAGTCATCTTGCTACGGAGTAGTTTGTATGATAAGACATGTAAGACTGTAATTGAAGTTGAACAGCTTTTCCCACTCAAAACGCTACCTTCTTCGGCAAATCTACCCTCTTAAAGATGGAAGCTTTACAATGTTTCAGGCATTTCAGCCATGTCCCCACCTTTGCTGCCTTCCTCCATAACCAATACAACCTCAAAAAATCGAAAAATCGTTTCAGGGTCGCCGCAAATTTGAGCAGTGATGATGACCCTTTTCTTCAAGCTGCCCTACATTCTGCTACTCTTCGTTTACAAGAGACCCATCGCCCAGGTATTCCTCTCCTTTACAGCATTCATTGTCCCCAAATTTTCATTTAGGCATTTTATCGAACAGTTGGTAGGCTTCTGTAAAGTTACATGGAAATCCAGGAATCAGCTGTTGTATTAAAGTCTGTTAACGTTTGTTTCAAATGGGTATTTACGAAATTAGGAGTTAATGTTTGTTTCAAATGGGTATTTACGAAATTAGGTGTTAATCTTTATTGTTCTTATAAATTGCCTCTCTATACATTTTCATGGCAGCTGGTTTCAAAGTTGTTTCCCTTGTAGTGGCCTCCCTTCAAGTTGAATATGTGATTATTTGGTAATAGTTGGTACTTGAACAGACCATTGTATCAATCACACCCTTGCTGAATCTGATGCAGAAGCCATCCCATATGTTCCAGGCTTCCAGCTGCATGAATTTTGATTGATTGGCAAAATTCTGCCTTTGCCTATCTGTCTGTTATGTTAATAAAGGGGAGAAATAGATATAAGTTTATGTATTAATTAGTTGGTTTAGTATCGACTGCTTGAGGGCTTGGTAGTTGGTATAACGTCATATCCGAAAGAACAAAGGATAATATAGTTCAATAAGCTGCAGAAGTATGTAAAATTAGTCAATCCCTTATCATTTTAAGAACTGGTTGAAATAGAAAATTTAGCAGCCGAAATCCTTTAATGTCATCTCAATATTGTCTTAATTGTCTTTTATTGTAAGAATTTTTCTTTGGCAATGGTTTGTGGTGCTCAGATCATGATTCTAACATGTCGGGCCTCTGGCTTTTCTGCGTCTGCAGACCCTCTTTTCCATGATCCTTATGTGGCTTGCTTGGTTCCTGCAAATATTCCTGTCTATACGGAGCAGCATGTGCACCCTTATTGCCTTGCGACCAAGTTCATTGATGATAGTTTGCTCCAAAATTTGAGAAATAACGATGAACTGAAACAGGTATGACTAGTCTTAACATTTGAAGTTTTCAGTTCATATCAAGGGTAGTGACTATGTTTGACTACAGTTTGAGGGCATTATGAAAATTATGTAGGTTGTTTTATTGACAGATGGTGCGGATACTCGTGTTTATAGACTTACTTGGCCAAGCTCTACATTGATATTTGACATATCACCAGATAGAATCTACTGCGACGTATCTCAGAAGCTTAAAGGTATGTTGTGAGTTGTGACATCTGCAAAATGTGGTGGCCTCTTATAGTTATGTGGGTAAAGATTTCAAATATTGATATCGAAGTCATTAGAATCTTAATGTTTTCCATTCCTAATAGCCTCAGGGGTGTTGATGTTGCGTATATGCTTATGTGCAGTAAAAAATGATTCGACTTTCGATATCATATTTCCATTTGCTACATTGAGAGTGAGAGTAGTACTCTTCTTATGGCTGTGCTCTTTTGATTTTTGGGAAATTCTATATGGTAGCCTCTAGTTTGTGCATTTTTTATTTGGTGGAATTTTTTATTGACCATTTATTAAGAGACCCTTTACTGTTGCATAATTTTCAAATGTGCCCTTTTTGTGTTTTATATGGCTAACCTAGCTATAAAATGACTAAATCTTAACCTAAATCTAAAAATTACTTACTCACCCCACCACCACCAATTCCCACTTACTAAAGCACCAGAACCACCATCGCCTAGCTGTTACCACCATCAAGACCATAGCCTAGCTGCTACTGGCTACCTTCACCAAGACCATCGCCCACCCACCACATCTAACCCAAAACCACCCTACATTCACTCAAAACCAACAACCTGCAACTTCTGTTACATCTACATCGCAGATCCTTCACGACAACAGAACTTACCCAGCTACTACCGCCGCCATCGTAGCCATAGAGCACTCACAATTCACCTCATTTGACCCTTGCTGCACCTTAAAAACCTCACCTACACCCAACTCCCTTGCGACGCTCAACTCACACCGACAGTAGCAGCTTGCAAATTGTGGCGCACAAAAGCCCCAATTTGATTTAGCTTGCAATTTGTTCAACTAAATCAATTTTGAGGTGGAATCTAGGCTGGGGTGGGTGGGCTGTTTCAGGTTAGTGGAGGTGGTGTTGGGGTGCGGTGGGAGTGGGTTTGAGGTGAGGCAAGTGAGGTTGGGTGGTTTTTGGTAGGTGGGGGTAATTTTGGGTGGTGAAGTTGGGTAGGGTTGCTTCAGGGTGGCTGGATGGTGGAGTGGCGATGGTAGCTGGGTGGTGGTGGTGAGTCATCAAGGATTTTGATTAAACAATTTAGGGGTGAGTTAGTAATTATAGTTACTGAAGTTAATGTTACTCTATATGAATACTACAAGAGAGGGGGGGGGGGTGAATATTAGTATGGAAAGTTTGCCTAACTTTTTGCGGAATATACTGAAGCTAAGGAACTCAATGACAAACAGAACTTTAGCGTTGAAAACTTCTTGACCCTAAATAAGAAGAAAACCCTGATCATTAGGGATTTTAAACAACGATAATTTACTAGAATAGGGAAACAACCTATTACAAGCTTCTGTTCCTATAAGAACCTCTCTGTTCTCCGTTTCTACTCCGAAGCACCAGTGTCAAGGAACTCTTCCTATGTGTCTTTACTTGAAGGCTTCCTTTGTTCCTTGAATGTCTCCTTATATGGACCGAGTACGCATACCCTACTCTCAAGCACCACATTCTAAAACACTCAAGCCATTAGCACCTTTATATAAGTTTGTCTTGTGTCATCATCAAAACATCAAGGTCACCAGCTAAATAATGAAGATGAACCAAGAAAACATGGGTTAGCCCATTTAAGGATAATTAGTGCACACATTAGACTTATACAATTCTAGGAGGTCACTATAGAATATGGAGAAACAAAATTCTACCAGATAGAAAATGCAAAAACTAGAGGCCACCATGTAGAATTTTCCTTGATTTTTTTACTTAATAAATTTCATGAATATCTTGGTGCAATTTTCCATTTCATGGAAGTTTTATGTATCATAAATCTTCTAATAAACCCATAATATCTTGCAGTCTGCCTGTGTATTTCTTTAACGAGAGGATTATGTCTTGAGTCTTGACATGGTTTATAAAATTTTAGATATTGGTGCTCAGATCAGCAGGAGCTGCTTATTGTTTCATGTTTCACTAGAGTCTTTTAACATACAAGAAGTCTTGCGTAAGAAAGGATTTAATGGTAACCGCCCCAGTATATGGGCTCTCCAGGTTTTCTTGTCATCGACATTTGTCTTTCTTGGCCCTTCTTGTTTCTATAGATCAGTGTATTTTATTAGTAAATGTAATTTTTGCTCATGCAGGGTCTGCCTTTAATGACATTGACAAGTTTTGAAGATATTCTATCTGTTGTCAGTAGTTTAGCCATGAAGGGAAGTCTTGTAATGGGAGAAGTCCCTGTCTGTTTAGCAGAAACTGAAGTTGAGCTGAAGGTAGTTACATTTCCCTGTCATGCTTGCTTTGAACCTAACTTACATCCCTTTCTCTATGAAAGACTATTTGTTACTTTTCATTCATTCCCAGACCAGTCGTGAAGAATGGATGCACAAGCTTTTCATGCGCCATGGATTTCAGGTTCATGTGATCGACTATAAAGATGTGGCTAGAAGTTTGTGTAGAGGTCTATCAGACGAAACCTCCAGTACTATGCTCTTTGTTGCGGAGCATATGAGATTTTCAGATGATCAGGTTAGAGAACATATGATCTTCCATTCATACTTAGTTTCACCTGCGATATGGGAGAAAAAGGGCTTTAATTGTGGAATTGGCTTTGAAAAACTGTAACATATGTGCTTCTCCCATTCCAATTCTAAGATGAAGTTAACAGGATGGGATCATGTGTTTCACATCCAACTTTGTCATTTCACCTGGATGAGGCACAACAGCACAACTAAAGATAACGGGATATAAGATGAGACATACAGAGTATAGTTTGATAAATTATCTCTACACTGTCAAAATGTCGTCGTAGAAAAATTTAGCTGTAATGTAGACTTTGTCCAATGTTTGCCACTATAAAGTTATGAACTGTGATTAAAATCTTTTCTCAAACCAATAGAAGCGGTGCAGATTGCAGAGTCTTGAGTTGAGAAATTGAGTTGACATATGTTTACTAAAATACCCTAAATTTTCCTTTGTTATTTTTTAAAACGTTGTACTAATATTGTTGGACATCTATGCAGATGGAAATGTGGCGAAGTGAATTTCATAGGACTGAAGAGGAAGCCGATGAAGAAGGGTTTGAAGATCTGTAAACATATTCAAGGAGTTTTCAATTATTAGCTGTAAGCATTCAAACAATTTTGAAGTCCAAAAAAATATTCAATCAATTTCGTCCTGCAATTTTAAACTCGAATATTTCATGATCGTTAGACAATTTCCTTATCAAAAACTATGCGTCTGTTAAATCAATCAGTTCAATTTCACTAAAAATAAATTGCAATTAGTAAAAATAAGTAATTTTGAAGAACACAAACAATATTAAATCAATTAAAATAAATTTTAATCTATCAAAATAATTAATTTAAGTTTAGTAAAAATAATATAATTTTTGCAAAATAAATAAATAAAATAATCTCAGTAGAAAGAATTTCAATTATGAAAAATTAATTTAAATTTAGCAAATATCATTTTACAAGTGCATGTGTAAGAAAGATATTGGAGATAATACCCAAAACACGGGATCAATCATCAATCTGATCATGTCTATACTGTTTGCCTTTTACGACACTTAGAAAAAAAACCTATTTAAACAAGGGTGCTAAATGCAAATGCAATGCAGGATAGGCTGACAGCGTAATTTGGATAAAAAGTACAAATATACACTTTTGCTTTTCAAATAGGAGTAGTTGGTACCTTTCTATGCATTGTTTCTACATAAATTAATGATATTATACGTCAAAATATAGTTAAAATAGATTTCTCCTATTATAAAATAAGTATTAGTTATGACATAGGGATGTCAATGGGGCGGGACAGATGTTGGCTTTCTCATTTCCATCTCCGCCTAACATTCTCATCCCTAACCCCATCCCCGTGGCGGATCCAAAATTTATCCCCATCCCCACCCTGCCGGGTACAATTTCAAAATCATCCCCGTCCCACCCCCCATTTGGATATTCACCCCGCCCTAAGACCCGCCTAATCACCGCTTCCCAAATACAATAATAAAAAAAAATCATCGTTAATATTACACTTTTTTTTCTTCTCTTATAGTATAAGTACATTACAAAATATTATACTTTTACTACATTATTTTACTTAATTTATTTTATAAAATTATAGAAGTACATAATTTTATTTTTAAAATATATAAATGTGGGCATGAGGCGGGTATGAAGTTGGGCGGGTAGGGCGGGGTGGGGATGGGACGGGGACAATCTAAAATCCATCTCCGCCCCATCACCCATGGCGGGTATGGTTTTTATCCCCATCCCCGCCCCACCACCCGCCAAATCCATCCCCACTGATATCCCTATTATGGCAACAATATGTGTTATGATTTAACATTCAAGCCGAATTTTTTTTTTCAAAATCCAATTAATACCTCACGGCATCACCCAAACGTATTTTTATCTCAAAATCCAATTTAATGTTGTTACTCACAAATACAAACGAAATTAATATTATCCAACCATAATCAAAATTCTCTCACTACATTACAATACTTGTATTACAGTTACATTGTTTAACTATAATCAGTCATTGATCGACTAGGTTTGACTAATTTGAGAGACCTAGCACATCGCATGACTAAACAACTAGTACTAGAAAGGAAAGAATTCGGGAGACAGAGAATTAAAAAGGCAGGAATGCATACAAAAGTGAGACACATGATCAAGGCCATGAATGACCCGTAAACTACAATTGATTTGGTCGAGGTAATATTGTTCAAAATGAAGAATAAACCTGTGAAGTATGCAGCTACCAAGCTCACAAGGCTAACCAGAAGATAAAAGCCTCCGAATTTGAGAATCAAAGGTTTTGAAATTCCAATAACCTTATAAAAAGTGCTTGAGATGAGTGTTAGAGCTGATATTAGTGAAAATAGAAATGCTATAGAATCGGCTTGCATAAACGATTTGAAAGACACACTGTCCGAAAAATATGGCAAGCCGGTGTCTTGCTTGTATCCGCCAGGAGGGTTGTATATTGCTGTATAAGTCACGGTGATTTAGCAACCTCTGTAACCCATTTGAACTGCGTACGAAAGGGGGTTCCGGCCTTCGGTGTCAAATGAATCCACAAGTCCTGGTGCTTTTTTAAATATGCTGTTTAAGATAGCTGCATTATTTGAATAGTATATGGACTTGTGTTGATTTATTCCATACAAAATCTAGTATAGTTAAGATAATATCAGCACAATGATCATTAATTTCTAGCTAACCAAAATGTCCATGCAATATAATTCCACAATGCATCATAATGATCATTAATTTATAGCTAACCAAAATTTTATATCCAACTGAAATTTAACATGGATCAATAAACGGGGTATGAGAGAGCACACATTGCGGCAATTAGAAGTATGTTGATGAATATGTTGTCTTCAATGATATGAGAATTTGGGCGTACAAATTTTTTAACAAACCTTAACACTTACCTATCTTCCTTGTATGAATGGCTAGGTGAACGATTGATTTGGAGTCTCTCAAGTTGTTTTGAAGTTGTGCATTACCTTCAAGTCCTTGGATCATTTGGTTGACCAAATCGCATTCACCCCAATTCTTGATTGCGAAAAACAAGGAACTAATGTTGTCCTTGTTTAAGCAATACGCTGCCTGTGTACATCGCTCATAAAGGCTATCAGCAATTTCCCTCTGATAATTTAGGAGCGCAAGATGCAGTGCTGTGTTTCCTTCCAAATGCGGTCTTTCACAAATAAGCTCTTCAAGGGCATTCGACCACTGAGAAAGAGCTTTGAAGGACTGCAACTTGCCAGCTTTGACCGCTGAATGAATTGGAAGGTCACCCTTCTTGTTAGCTTGATGCATAAGGGTAGCACAATTGTAGCCCATGAAGAGATCAACAATCAGCATCGGATGATCCATAGATGCTGCAATGTGACGAACATTACTCCCATCTTGTGGGCTTACAAGGTCCTCAAGCCGAAGCCTTTTTTCTGAAACTATTTCAGAAACCTTATCTAACTCCATATTAATTAGGAGTTGAAACACATGAGCATCAATGGGGAAATACTTGAGGCCACTCTTAGCTCTTTCTAAAATGAATGTTAGTCTCTGAGCGACTTCTTTGTCCTCTTGATCTATCGAATTTATTAGTTTCTCAACCAAGACAATTCCTGCCAACCCGTCGTTTATTAATCCAACATCAACTCGTGCATCTTTGATAAGTATTTCAACGACCTTAATAGTTTTTACTCAGTTAGTGTTACAGGGGTTATTTCGTCAATGTTATAGGGGTTACTCAATTAGTGGCATAGGGGTTACTCGATCAGTATTACATGGTTATTTTGTTTCCTTTACAACCGGCCACATGGTATGACCAGCCACACACAAGACGGACTAAAAAAATTAATGTATATGCATTGAAAAATGTTAAAAATAAAATGTTTCAACTAAATAAATCAAGTAGATAAGACGTATTAAAAGTTAAACTTTACACCGGCAACTGGCAAGCACTTAAATAAAACTGTTTCATTAAACTAATGGAGTTATTATCCGTAACTTTAGAGCTTAGAGAACATGTGATCATCAACCATCGAGTATAAAGTACACAAGTACTCCAAATAAAAGAAAGCTAAAAGTTCAGATCATACAAGAATAACAAAATATTTCTTTTCTCCAAAAAAACACAATTTTCAAATTAGCTATCACTTCCATCAACATCCAATTTTATAAATAACCAGAAAGGTTAACACAAATGCTAGTGAGTACACTTGCAGACCTGCACATATATACAGAAACAGTAGAGGCCGAAGCATTACGCTAAATCTTGTTAGCCAACCGAAACACCATTCACAAGTTGCTATACAACAGGAAGATTACATAAATAGAAGTCAATCCAATAAGCATTGCACTGCCTCAAATTTGATAACAGATACATCAGTCATAAAATTATTGCTGCAATACAGGAAGAGAAGGTCGTGGCCTAACAACATTCAGAACACCTCTTGCAGTTGCCTGTATCGGAGTTAAAAAGTATAAGACAATTTGCAAATACAGAAGGAACGATACTCTACAAGGAACATTGTTTACTTGTTAACTGTAAGACATTTAGCAAATACAGAGAGGGGAACTACATGGCACACTATTTCTGATAAATGCAGCACATCTTCTAATTTCATTGAATTTTTTTTACATTTCCAAGCTTACCCCTGTTTTGTCTCTCTCTCTCTCTCTCTCTCTCTCACACTCCCCCCCCCCCCCCTTCCCCCCCTTTTCTTTTCTTATGGACAAATAAATCTAAGTTAGTGCACATAATGACAGAAAAAAAGAAAAGAGGATTGACAATGTAAGCAGGATTACATTACTGGATCAATTTTAGTGGAGGAAGAGGGATTGTCAAAGCAAAGAATCAACTCAACAAGGTCTCCAAAATGCCTCCTTTTTGGTCACGAAACACTAAAAAAAGTCCTCTGATAGTTTAAAAAAGACCCTTTTTTTTTAGAAAAGGTTAAAAAGTACTTAAATATGCCAATGTTAATGGAAACTGAGTGGTTGGACTGTGAGCAATTATCATCCCTCAACATTCAAAGCATGCTATGTATTTTAAAGCATGCTATGTATTTTAAAGATTGCAGTCAAAATGAGAACAAAGCTAATAACCAATGATAGGGAGAAAAGGTAACAGATTCACCTCAAAGAATGAATTGAAGTTTAGACGCAAAAGGAAACGCCTCAGAAAAGGGGCTCTCTGACTCCCAGCAAGTCGGCTGCTACGCAATATAGTGTATAAGGAATTTGACTTTTTGTTGAATTCCTGAAACATTGATTAAGGTTATTGTAACAGCACACAAATTATGCAAGAACAATATAATTAGTAATGTTTGAATGGAAAGGGAATAGCATAGTACAGCACACAACATGATAGATGCAGTTAGGAAGTATTCAGAAGCTTTGTAACAAGAAAAGTGCATTATGTCTCCCATGCTAGAAATTATTCCTTTACTAGAACTAGAGAAGTCAGTACCAAAATTCAAGTTATCACCAATTCACCAGCTCCTCAAGGTTAGCATGATGAAAATTCAGATAGCAAAATATTTTAATACCAGAAACTATATAATAAAGTCACCCTCCCCCTAGACCTAACAGACCTTGTTTAGGCATTAACTCGAAGTTATACAGGGCTCTTAAGAGCCTGGGTAACAGCCATGGTGAAAAGAGGCACTTCTTTCAGGTATCCAAATACTTCCTTCA